CCAGTGGAGAAGCCGTAGCGGTGTGAGCATTTTGTTGCTTGTTCACACCTCAGTGGTCAGAAAGCAGACAGAAGCGTATAGACACTGTGCCTGATTTCTCATTTTTACTCTTTACCTCACCTGGGGTGTCAGTTCCTAGACAGCTCTGCTTATATTCAAGATGGAGTTTCTGTCCTCAGTTCATCCTTGCTGGAAGTGCCCTCACACACAGGTCCAAAGGTGTGTCTCCTGACTGAAAAATAGCCACTACCTGTATGTAAAGCCTATGTTTGATTTACAACAAGGACTTGGAGCCTACTATTATTTCAGTTGGAAATCCTTAACAATCATGTAACACCAGCGATGCCATCCCTCTGTATTATAGAGGGGAAAACTGAGGTGAAGTATTTTACCTCAAATTCCCCATTAGACTTAGAACCATATCATTGTATGTGACAATTTATCATGTGTAATATATGACTTGACTAATGTGCTACCTTAAATCATGCTCACTATTTGGCAAGTGGCCCAATAGATTCATGTTAAATGGTTTGTAGATCTATGTAGAAAAAAACCCTTCCTTTTTCTTTAATGCGGTCTCCACAAAATATATCTGGAAGTCACAGCAGCTGATCTTTACCTGTCACCAAAGAGTCTCCATCCCTAAAGAATCACAAACTAAAATGGATTCTTTAAATACGACTCACTTCACAAGAGTCTAAGCAATGAGGTTTTAGAAACAAAGGTACATCCTTTGAATTTGTGTTTCCTTCACAATTAAATGTGAAGTTGATTGACTTGAGGCTTAAGATCCCCCAGCAGAGGTCAGGCCTCATGACTTCCATCTCGGTGTGTTAGGCTTCTGGAATTTACGCTTGCTGTTATTGATGACAGTGTTGTCATTCTTCCCAGTGTGGTTCATTCCCAGGAAGTCATGGTTGTAACAGGAACACCCAAGCGACTGACAATATAACCTCTGCTGTGCAGATATGTCAACTCAGCCCACACAGAGCTGCCGTCTCTCAGATCCTTCCATCACCTGGCAGCTCAGAGTATTCAACCATGGCCACCGACAGTAGAAAGTTAAACAAATAGAAAAATCAATAGTTTGTCAAAACCGATGAAAAGTCAGTACAGTGAAAAGATGAGTGGAGGAGAAAGCAATGTCTTGAAAGTGAGGAATAGTCAGAGTTGGTAAAACATCCCATTTTGTTTAGCTACTAAATATTTCTTAGGAACCCCAAACTAACCATCTGGTTGAAAATTCCAGGGTTCTGTATATTGGCAATCACAGAAGGCCCTCCCCTTTTGTAAATTAGCAAAAATGCCCACCACCTTTCTTTTCTTCTCTTCTCTTCCTTGCCTTGACTTCCCTATGAACGGGGTGTAGTTTTTTTCCTTTGTTGAATTTGGTCTTTGCCAATATAGCTAGTTTTGGTCAGTGGTATAGTTGCCTGTGGCTGTTGGCAGTTTTAGGCTGAGGTCTTAAAACACAGTTCATAGCCATTCTTTGACTTCCGTTGTCACCAGGAGTGTTAGGGGGATGCCTTCCTTCCTCCATTCTGGGTCTTGGAATTGAGGACAGAAAGGGAAAATCTGACTGTAAGCAGAGGTTTAGTGTGGGGACACCAGACCTTGAGCAGAAACCCACTTCCCCTTCGGCCTGGGAGCAGGCATCTATGTAATGTTTACTGAAAACAATTCAGTGCTTTAAAGCTTGATAGGGCTCAGATAAGGGCTGGCTCACTGAAATACCATCCCTTTCACACCTCCTACTGCTAGATGCCTCTTCCTGTCCCTGCCCCCTGTGGTGTCTCCCCGATTCTGGGGCCGGAGATTAAACCACCAGCCAGGAGGGTGAGAAGTGGAAGGAATGGTATGTAAATGGATGGCAAAAGTCCTTAAAAAGGGAAGCTCTTTTTTCTTGGAGAGATTTCTCCAGAGATTTCGCCAGAGACTTCTCCTGAGATTTCTTCTGAGAGCTCTCTCCTAAGCTGACTTGGGAAGATAAAGTTTTCTTAAAGCATCCGACCGGTCTCTGTGTCATCTATCCCGACCACCTCGCTACATTCTCGGATGCAGGCCGCACAGCAGGTGCGACAGTTTAGGGTCCAGCTTGGCCCTATTGATATGAAAGTATGGGATAAACATTTTTAGATGAGTTATTGAAAATTGGGGATCATTTGATGTTTAGTATAATGACAAAACTCACCACTACCAGAAGAAAAGCCCAACCCATATACAGCCTGTGCTAACTGATGGAAAGAGATATATAGGATAATATAACAAGTTTGCTTTAAGTTAGGGAGTCAAATGACAGTGTCTTTATCTAACTGTATATCCAATCATACATCTAGAGGCTCCCATCTAGCCACCTATCCATCCATCCCCCATCCATCCATCCATCCGTCCCCCATCCATCCATCCATCCATCCATCCATCATCCATCTATCCATCCATCCATCCCCCATCCATCCATCCATCCATCCCCATCCATCCATCCATCCATCCATCCATCCATCCATCCATCCATCCATCCACTAATCTGTCTACTTTTCACCCTTTCCTAACTCTGCCTCTCTCTATATGTTGATTTTCTTTCTCTGGAGGTATTGTTAAAATGTTTAGGTGTATCCAGTAAGGAGACACAGACTGTGACTCAACCATCCCACGTGGAGTTTATTGGTGGACGGGGAGGGAAAGGGGGGTGAGAGGTAACCAACCCATGCAGAGCAGAGAGAGAGAGAGAGATGAGAGAGAGACAGAGAAAAAGACAGAGTAAGATGAGAGTAAGAGTGTAAGAGGGAAAGAGAGTAAGAGCAAGAGAGCATAAACGGGCAGGGGTCAGTCCTTTAAAGGGGTCCTTTGCACCTGTGTGGTTCTCACGGAACTCTGGGCTGGCCAGAGTGTTGCCTGAGTGCATCCTGCCAGGTAACAGGGCAGGCCAGTGTAATGCCTGAACCTTTCAGGAGGCAAGTCTCTTCTGTGCCTTTGCTACTGTGTAATTTATAGAATATTATTTCGGAAAAGGCTCTGGGAAAAGCAATGCCCAAGGGCTAATAGACTCGAGAAAGAATGCTTCCATATTTCAAGTTTAGAAACTCTCTTGTCATTTTAGGTTTGCAAGCAAGTAAACAAACAAATGAAACCAAAAAACCATGAGAAGTATTTTCTAGTTGAAAACAAGTTACTGTGACTTGTTGGTGCTGCCTTTCCTAAGATAATATGACCACCCAAAGTTTCTTGATGTGAATTTGAGGGGATTGTGCTACAGGGCACATAGGGCATCTAGTCTCGGTTTGGGTTATTCTACGAGGTTATATCTACTTCCTCTTCTTGAACTTTGCGTCTCCAATCACGAAGGGAGGGGGTCAATTTCTTGGCCTTTACGACTCCACAGGGCTCTACAATCTGTAATTCCGGTAGTCCACCATATGCTGTGGAGAGAAAGGTGGTGTGACTAGACAAGGAATGATTAGGTGCTGGCTATGAGGTTACTGTATAGAGCATCTGAGGTTCAACACATTCAGAGTAACGAGGATGGTGGCACCCGCAGTAGTGACTGGTTTGCTCAGCTTGCTTAGGGACCTATGGTCTAGCCCAGGGTCCCAGGCACACTCTACAGCCCGGCTCCTTCCGTTACCTCGTTCTTTTCTTTCTCCACTGTCCTTCAAGCCTCTTGCTTTCCACCCTCTTCACCCCAGGCTTTGTGTGCAGCCTCTGCAGCATACTTTGGTAATTATTCTTAGTATCATTCAGCTCAGCTGCTGGGTCTGGGAGGCGAGTCTGCTTCAAATCCTCCCTTAGTCAGGATGCTTTTCATGGCTGGGAACAAAACCCTGACTCAAGCTGGCTTAAACAAAAGAGAATTCATTATTTTGCAAATCAGGAATTCCAGGGGCCAGGGCAGATCTGAATGTGGTTGAATCAGCCATTCAACAATAGCATTCCATGGCAGTTTCTCCCCACCCTTTCCCCAAGTCCCCCTTCTCTGCCATCATTATTTGGCATCTTAGGCAGGTGTCAAGATAGGGCCAGTAGCTCCAAGTATTCCATCCAAAAATGACAAAATCTGGAGAATGAAGGGACGCATTTCTTTCTGCGATTCTTTTCTAGGAACAATGGTATCCACGCAGCTCTCCATTCCACCACCTACCTAGAAGACCTCTCTCATGTTTCATGGGTCAGAATTAGGGCCTGACCATTCCTCAACCCATCAGCTATAGAGAGAATAGGATCATCCTAAAACCAGCCACTCCAACCCTGGTGCTGGTGATGAAGACACCTACTATGTGATATGTCAGAGGCAATGTTAATTCCACTGGTAGGGAATAAGCCCATCACCACAATATAAAGCCAAATTTAAAGCAATTTTTAATTAAATACTAGCCAGATTGATGGACTCTGGCCAGGTCAATCTCTCTGGGTTCCTAGAAAATGTTCACAAATCATGGTTTTCAGGGGTTTAAAAAGGCAAACCCCATAATTATCCACATTTTCCATCAGGTCCAACCGGGGACAAACATACACCCTGACATATTTCCTGTCTATGTAATTTCCACCTACATCCAATCAGGGGCGAGCTTACATCCTGATGTATTTCTTGCCCATGTACCTCCTGCCTTCATGTGACCAAGCACATCTGGTACAGATGGGCCAAACAAATATAAGGCAAACAGGATTTTTTTTTGTTAACTGCAAACAGAACTCTTAACCTGCAAGGTGTATTTTTCCTGTTGTGGTCTCATAGGAGAACAAAACCTGGGTTGTGTTAGGAAGGAAGAAAAGAAAGAAGGAAGCAAGAATGGAAGGAAGTAAGGATGGATAGATAGATGGATAGATAGATAGATAGATGATAGATAGATGAGAGACAATAGTAAGGTATTAAGAGTAGAAAAGGGTGAAGGATAGGGCCTCGGAGTAATCTGGCTTCATTAAACTTCCTAACTGCAAAAATGAGCTCAGTGCTAACCCCTGAGCCATCTCCTCAGCCCCCAAAGTGTTATGCTCTTATATTCCAGACAGATGAAGCTTTGGCTGGGCTGCCATCCAACCCACTCAAGCCCCCAGCTGGAAGCAGGTGACAGAGCAAGCAAGCAGGGCTGCATGCCATCCTACCAGCGCTCTGGAGAACATGCACAGCTTCTGACCTCTTGGCAGCTGAGGATCTTTACCTGCCTATCACCATACATGGTCATCCATTTGTTCTTCGTTCATAGACACAAACTTCTCTGTTCCTGCTGTGCACATTCAGGTGCTACGTCTTGGTTACTTTTCTATTGCTAATATACCGTGGCCAAGGTAACTTAAAGCATAGTTACAGAGGTTGGAATCCGCGGTCATTATGGCAGGGGGTATGGCAGCAGGCAGAAGGCATGGTTGAGAGCTCACATCTTGTGACAACCATGAGGCAAAGAGAGCTAACTGGAATGGTGCCGGTTTCCAAAGCCTCAAAATCCACTCCTAGTGACATGCCTCCTCCAATAAGGTCACACCTCCTAATTCCTCTCATGCAAGTTCTGCCCACTGGGAATCAATCATGTAAACACACTTGCCTAAGAGGACCATTCCCATTCAACCCACCACACTCTGGGACCTATGAGATCATGCCACTTGTTCAGCAGCTATTAGGAAGCAATCCATTGCTTACGTTTAAATTTTTTCATTCCTTTATTTGACACAGCTTTTATTCCTTCTGCTGTAGTTACCAAAACACTTTTTTTTTGAGCCAATAATAACTCAAAAATAAGACATGTTTTCATCTACCAGGGGACGGAGGAGCTTCTTGCTTCCCCTCACTTTCTAATGCGATAGCTCAGATTCCGTGGAGGTCAGAGGAAGGTTTCAGATAGGCATTTTCAGGAGTGGATGATGGGAGATGTCATTCTGTAAATCTGTCTCTCTTATTGGTTGTTGAATAAAGCACTGTTGACTGATAGGTTAACAATGCAGGTGAAACTAGGGATCTAGGAGGATTCTGGGAATTGCAGTGAAGAGGCTGGTCACCATGTGACTCCCAGGAGGAAAGGACATGCCAGGCATGTGTCCTAGTAAAGATAAGTTCTTGTGAAATATATATGAGTAATTATGGGTTAATAATCAAGTCAGACCTAGCCGATAAGAAACCAAGCAAACAGCCAAGAGCTTCATAATTAATATGGCGACTTGTGTGTTATTTGGAGGTTCAGACAGCTTGGCGGGGCCAAGGCAGCTGGCCGGAAGTATACATGATACAAGTGGAGCTATGAAGCTGTTCTAGGAGACAGCTTTTACCCTTAGAGTCCAAAACTGTCAGCCAGCGACCCTTTGAGAGGACATATGACCCCTGCAGCACACCCTTGAACCTTAGCTTTTCGTCCTTGGTGATCAGGAGGAAGAAAGCCATGATGCATTGCTTTTCTTTTTCTGTGTGTCATACTTTATAATGAGTGCTTCCAAATAAATGATCCCTTTCAATCTTCAGATTCTGTCATCACACCCAAGCACACCTCTGAGATTGGTGGGGTTGGGAGCCAGAGACTAATGGAGACACCAAACCAGGTTTAGACGTGTGATTCTGAAAACCAGATTGCTAAACTGTGATCACAGCAGTTCCCATGTCTATACTCAGTCCATCCTCTGCCCACGGTGACCTGTCTCCGGCATCCACTTGAGACTTGCCAGTATGGCCTTAGCCTGTCACTGCTAGAACAAACCTGAATCTGAACACTTTATAATGCTTTAAAGAAATGGTTACAATTTTAATGTAAAGTGTCATCTGTAGGCTCATAGGTTGAGGGATCAGCTGCCAGCTGTATTACCTCTTGGATTCCAAATTCCATCTCGTACAATGATATGTAAAGAATGGTCGCAGAGGTATCAGAGAGGTGGTTGGGTTTAAAGAGGCTTCACCGGAGGTGTGGAGAAGGACAGTTGATGCAGATACAAAGAGAGTCACTGAAGATGGTTAGATAAAATGTGGGGAAAACCATCAATAGATGTTGAAGGGTCAGAGATTAAGTCAAGTGCAGGTGAAGCATAGGGGCCCAACTGGACCCCTATGAACTCTAAGGATAACTCTAGTATTCCCTCTTAAGCATCAACCAATCAGATAACCCAATCTAAAAATGGGGTGCAGATCCAAACAGAGAATTCTCAGCAGAAGAATCTCAAATGGCTGAAAATCACTTAAATAAATGTTCCACATTCTTAGCCATAAGGGAAATGCAAATAAAAATGACTATGAGATTCCATTTTACACCAGTTAGAATGGCTAAGATCAACAACACAAGTGATAGCTCAATGTTGGTGAGGATGTGGAGCAAAGGGAACACTCCTCCATTGCTGGTGGAAATCACTGTGGAAATCAGGATGGTGGTTTCTCAGAAAACTGGAAATTGATCTGCCTCAAGACCCAGCCACACCACTCTTGGGCATATACCCAAAGGATGCTCAGTCATACCACAAGGACACTTGCTCAACTATGTTCTGACTTGAAATCGTCAGAAACTGGAAATAGCCTAAATGCCCCTCAGCTGAAGAATGGATGAAGAAAATGTGGGGCAGCTCTTAAAACAAATGACATCATGAAATTTGCAGGTAAATGAATGCAACTAAAAAAATCATCCTCAGTGGGGTAATCCAGACCCAGAAAGATAAACACAGTATGTACTCACTCATAAGTGGATATTAGCTGTAAAGTAAAAGACAATCATGCTACGATTCACAGATGCAGAGAGGCTAAGAAACAAGGAGGGCTTTAGGGGTGATGCAAGGATCTGTCTGGGGAGGGCAAATAGAATAGATTCGGAGGAACTGGGGTCTGAGGGATCCTGGTGGGGATGGGAGGGAGAAAATACTGGAAGAAATGACTGGAGCATCTCAATTTGGAGGGATTGGGACACCAACCCAGCAACAAAACCATTGGCCTACTATTTGTCCTGCCTGCAGAATGTTCTTGGGACCAAAGCCCAGCAGAATCTTCATCAAAGAGACCAGAGAGACTTCTATTCAGAGTATGTAGATATTTCCTACTGCCCTCTAATCTGTTCAGCCCCAGAGACAGATGTTTGGTTTTTTTTCTCCTCTCTCTTCCATTTATTTCTCATTGGCAAGGACAGTAATAGATGAACATGGTGAAATATTATTAAGATTTACTTGATTTTAAAATTGTGTGTGTGTGTGTGTGTGTGTGTGTGTGTGTGTGTGTGTGTGTGTGCACCCATGCACGTGTGGTTGGGGGGAGTCTGAGCAAATGTAATTGCAGGTGACTGTGGAGTCCAGAAGAAGGCGCCAGGTTCGTATGGAGCTGGAGTTAAAGCAGTTAGGAGTCACTTAACATGTGCACATATCTAAAGAAAATTATGACTCCATCCCCTTAGAATCCCTTTGTGGTGATATTTTGTTTATGATCTAACAAATAAAGCTTGTCTGAAGACCAGAGTGCAAAGCTAGCCACAGCCATAGAGGCCAGACAGTGGTGGCACATGTCTTTAATACCAGCTCTCAGTAGACAGAGGCAGATGGATTTCTGTGAGTTCAAGGCCATCCTGGGCTAAAGGAGAGTGACTCAGTCTAAAAAAAGAGAAACAGCTCACACAAAGGTGATCTCAGCACTTGGGATCCCACTCCTTTAATCCCAGCACTAGCTAGGAATATAAGGTGAGAGGAGACAGGAGCTCAGTGCAGTCTGAGGATTGGTGGAGACATTAACCAATAGGAGAAACTTATATACAGAATTACTTCCCCTATCAGCAGCCCTTCTCCCTGCCTTCTGGGCTTTACATTCCTTCCATTTTTCTCTTACAGTATTTCCCAAGCAGTAGAGAGAGCGGTATAAGCTTCCTGTTGAGGGTTAAGCACTCAGCTGTCCCTTATTCTCAGCACCCTGAGCAATGAAGAGAGTCTGAATCCACCACCATTCGTCATATAGAGATGTTTCTCCATAGACCAGGGTGGGGATGAGATTAACCAGAATGCATTATATACACCTGTCAACTGGGAAAGAACGAATTTCGTTGGTAAAAGTTAAAAATGAATCTGCATAGTGTAAAGCCAGTTTTTGATTGCTCTCCTTGGAGATGCTAGCTTTCCATCACTCATCGAATCTGAGGGGAACTTGTCATAAATCCCCACAATGCGTCTGCCATCTTGTTCTAGTAGTCGGTCTCTAAGAGTCAAAAGGAGATGGAGCACCGGAGCTGGAAGTGAGAGATACCTGTACATCTCATCCATTCATTCATTCATCGTACATTATTTGGTATATCTACTTATGTCAAGGACTATTCTGGAGTCTGGAGACATAACTAGAGATGACCCCTGTTCCTACCAGTCTTACGTGTTCATGAAGAAATGTGACAAAGGAATCATCAGACGATAAATTTTACAGGGAGACAAAGCCACCTAGTGATGGATGGCCAACGGTTACTTTGGAGTGTGTGGGGTGAGAGGGACTCATAACCTGAATCCTGAATAAGATAATGGATTAAGCTATGAGCAAGGACCAACATCTGCCAATGGACACGAACTTGACTGGGTGGAAAGAACAAAGAGATGGCATAGACCAGCGTAAGGGCAGGTGAACGTAGGCGAGGTGCACAGATCCAGCCCTTCACAAATTGCCCAGCTCTGGACTTGGTCCTCAGTATAAAGGAGATGAGCTTGGACCAGCAGAGCTAGAGAGAAGAAACTGTGCTCCCTGTGGATCCTGAGGTCTCATTGGCTGGGTAACCTGCCAATCAAGCCACTCCCTCCACTGTGGTGTGCTCGCACAACTGCTGTGAGTTCCTGATCTCACAGGGTCAGGGAGGTAGGAAGATACCATTTTGGAAACATTATCCGGGTCCCTCCCAATCACCTCTTATCATCCTTAAGCAATCTGAATGTCCCAGCTCCACCTGCCTCACAGGATAATTAGAAACATCCCATTAAAGAGGCAGCGAGTAAGGTTTACTGCCAGCACTGTGTGTGTGACACAGACGGTTCCCAGAATTCTTATATTCTCCCCCCAGAGAGGATGCTGTAAGAGCCATCCTCCTTTCATAGATTAGGAAGCGAAGCTTTAAGAAGCAAAGCAAGCTGGCCAAGGTACAGGTCATACCCAGGAAAGGATTCTAGCTCCTTCAGTGGCGTGCCAGCGTCTGTGTCCTTGACTGATGGACTCCGTTCTCTTTTAAACTCTGGATGCAGCTGCTGGAGCCTGATGGCATTTAGTTCCTTGTTTTCTTTTGCTTGGTTTTCATTAGAGCGAGGCATGAAAGATCAGCTCAAGCCCGGATGAATGTACCGCTTTTGCCATGGGCACTGAGCTTGCAAACCTGCTCAGCCAGTCTGGGTTCTCTGTCATAGTCATAAACAGAGCAAGGATTCCCCCCACCCCTCAGCCCTGTCTTTAGGTGTGTTTCAGCGTTTGCAGCTGCAACAGCAGATAATTAGTTTGTCCTCAAACTGTGTGACACGATTAGTGTTTCCTATGTGGTGTTGAGCAGATCCTACCTCACAGTCACAGCAGAGAGCTGCAGGTACAGCCAAATTTATGCTTCTTCTTTGGGAGGAGCCACACCTGATAATTAGAACACTAAGTTCCCTGCTGAAAATGAATCCACAAATCACCTTGGTCCTTCACCAGAGCTGCTGCAGAGGCACATGAACCTCTGCTTACTATTACTAAACCAGCACTGGCTTCCAAGGCAGGAAATATAGGTCTGGGGGGGGGGCTCTCTGCTACTTCCCCACCAGGATTTTGAAAAGACCAGAGAAATTTTTCTGGAAGACACTGTGTCCACAACACAGAATCTACACTTGCAGCAGCCATCTTGGATCCTGAGATACAAGGCGAGCAGCCAAGGATGAGGGGAGAGGAGGATGAGAGGACTCAGGTTCCTAGTGCTGTTGTTGAGAAGAGAACTATGAGGAACAATGGAGACAGTGGTTATAAATCTGGGGGCTTCTTTTGTGTGTAGTCTGAAAATAAAGTGGTATTAATGGCTGAATACCCTTCAAGTTGGAATCTCCATTTTGTTAATAAAATGGTGATGTTTTTGGTTGGGGGGCAGTCAGAGGAATAGAATACAGAAAGGTTTTGGCAGATAAGAATGAAGTTGGAGGTCATTACTGTCCCTTGCTCGTAGAGGGCAGACAAGTGAATCAGTCCCTTTCCACCCTGCCAACTCATTTAACACAGTAAACTGAGGAGACTGTACAGCTTATCTGATTTGTTTCCCTCTTCTTAGGAATCATTATTCTTCCTTGTCTGATGTCCAGGTCTCATATGTTCTGTCCACTGAAAGTTATTAAATTCTATCATAGACTCATTTTTATACAAAGAATTATGTGCAATGCAGAGTTATGTAATATATGCATTCTATATATAATTTTACATTACATACCTAAACAGATAATGATAGAGGAATAATGACTTTCCTAATAGATTGTACTTTCTTACTGTGAAAGCAATCTTTAGTTTCCTATAGCCGGAATGTGCT